AGATGGCTGGGTTTTTAAATTCTGTTTTTCCTTCAATTTCTACTACGGAATATTTAAGCAATATTTCTCATCTTCAACAATTTATAGATGGAAATAAGATCAAACAAGATGACTGCATTAATTCTGAGCCGGTTAAGAAAAAATTGGGAAGTTTAAAGAACAATAAGTCTCTTGGACCAGATAATATTTCCACAAAGGTTTTGAAGGAGGTTAAAGATTGGATATATGAGCCACTTACTACTATTTTTTGTCAGTTCTTGAATAGTGGGCAGGTACCAGAGGATTGGAAGTTAGCTATTGTAACTCCTCTTTTTAAAGGAGGTGATAAAAATTGTCCCAGTAATTATAGAGCCATAAGTCTTACATCAGTTGTGGGTAAATTTTTGGAAAGTTTGATAATAGATGCTTTTCAAAGCCATTTAACAAAGTTTAGAATTCTATTGAATAGTCAACATGGTTTCACTGAGGGAAAATCTTGCCTTACAAATGTTTTAACATTCATTGAAAAGGTTATTGCTTATGTGGATGAGGGCAAGAGTGTAGATTTGGTGTATCTGGATATTCAGAAAGCATTTGGTGTTGCTAGCTGTGAAGAAGATGCTGCTGCTTTATACAAGGATTTAGATCATTTAGTGAGTTGGACAAATAAAAGGCAGATGGGTTATAATTATAATAAATGCAAGATAATGCACGTGGGTTATCATAATTTGAATTATACGAATAACCTTAACAGTGTTATGAAAGAAAAGGATCTTAGTGTAATGGTTGATCAGTCTCTTAAACTATCAAAGCAGTGTGCTGTTGCTAGTGGTAGGGCAAATAGGATTTTAGGTTGTATCTACAAAAATATTGAAAACAAGTCTAAAGAAGTTATAATTTCATTGTATAGGTCACTGGCAATGCCACATTGGGAGTATTGTGTTCATTCTTGGGCTCCTTACCTTAGGAAGGACAATGAATTCTCTGAAATTGTTTTCTCTTGAAAGATGAAGAGTTAGAGGTGGATCTAATTAAAGTGTTTAAGATTGTTAAGGGAATTGATAGTGTTAATGCAACATCTATTTTCATACTTATTGGTGAGAATGATAGGACTATGGGACACAAATATAAATTCTGGCAGAGTAGGAGTTACCTTCAGCTAGGATAGTTTAATTTTTCTAACAGAGTGATTGGCCTTTGGAAAGGGTTGCCTTCAGATGTTGTGGAAACAGTAAATTTAAGTGATGTTAAGGGAAAGCTTGATAACTATATGAATGATAATAGTTGGATTTGAAGTTTATTTATTTTATTTCTTTATTTTTCTTACTTAATAGATTTAGTTTAGTTTAGAAGATGGGTCAGCCTAGATGGACCAATAGGTTCTTTGTTATCCCTAAATACTATATTATTATATGTAAAATGATCAGCACATTGATTTTTTTAACTGTCTAAAAATGTCTACTTTTTGAGGTCCAATTTCCAAACATTTTCCATGCTGCAACCTTGTGCACTTGAAACACATGATCTGCTCCCTCTGTGGATCTCCCTAAAAATGCTTTTTCCATATTAGAAGCTCTGAGGAATAATGTTATATTCACATTGACAGAAAGCTTGATTATCTTTCAGAGAGAAAATAGATACATCTGACTGTTAAGTATACATTAAAGTCAGTAAACAGATGTACATATTATCATAAGTACAACTGAAAGGGCTTATAACTATGCAAAGCATCACTTCTTAAACATTAGAAAGTGAAGGGACACTATTTGTCTTGACTAAACTTTATAGTACTTGTTGCAAAGATATAAACATCATGATAAGGATTTTGTTTTCCTAATATGTTGTTGTTCACATTTATGTATCACCAATAGAAACATACAATCTTCAAGACTAAATCTGTATATCAAACAATCACTATAGAAAAATGCCAAACATACAAGCCACTAGCAGACTAGAAATGGTGGGCATTACAATTGGTAAAGTGGTAAAAGGAAATTTTTCTCAGTTTTTTTAACTTCAAAGAAACTTCAATATGAGTTTTAACTAATTAACATAAATATATTACTTATAAAACATGGAAATGAGCTAAAAACTGAAACAAATAGGAGAAGTAATAGAATTTTTAGATTTGAAAACAACGGAACAGGTAGTTTTGTAACGGACTAAAACAAAACACTGCTACAACTAGCATCAAACAAAAACAATTTATTAAAATGTAACAGAAATTCCAAATAAAACTTTCAACATCTATAAAATTTATCACTTACATTACAAAAAAACAGTTAGTTAACCCATGCCTAGCCATGACTAGGTACAAACGTTAATAACCAATACAATATATATATCTCAGTGTTGTTAGTTTCAATACATAAAAGAATTAGTAAAAAAGAACCAGAAAAAGAAAAATATCTAATTTTAAAAAACAGCAATGTTCCAAAATAAAAACACTTCTCAGGATCATAACAATATCGAGCAATAATTCTAACAATATCTCATGAACTAACTTGTTTACGATCAATAAAAGGTTTTTATTTAGTGGTTAGACCATGAGGTTACATCTCATGTGACTAGCTATTACCATAACTCGACATAATCTTTCACAACATTAATATCTGTACATAATCACTATGGGAAGCTTATGTCAGTTTCATAATACTTACATGCTCAAAATCAACATGCTCTAGCTACAAGGTGAGTTAGTGCTTTAATATAAATAAAAATTCATAGTTGAACTAAATACTAGAAGGAATAATAAATGAAGAGCAAACAAAACTATAACAAAATAAAAGTAGAATTCGCTATCACACACTCCTTGCACCCAACGTTGCTAGATATTGTAATTGATCTTGAGAACCAGCTTAATTTTGGAACATTGCATTTTTAAAATTAGGTTTTTCTTCATCTGGTTTTTTTCCTAATAGTTTTTTATTGAAATTAATAACATTGAGATTGATGTTGTATTGTTTATAAACATTTATACCTAGTCCTGGCCAGGTACAAGTTTACTAACTGTTTCTTGTAAGTGATTTGTAATTATTTGTTTTATTTTGGATTCCTGGTTGTAGTAGCATTTTGTTTTAGTCTGTTGCGGCATTAAAACTAAAGAAAATCAGAATATACAATTAATATACTAAAAAAAAGGCTAAATGTAAAAAGAATTAAGCAAGAAAGAGAAAAAACCTTTGAAGTTGGAATTAAATAGCTGTGTTAATTCCACTAGGCAATGACATGTCACAAAATGAAGTCAGATCTTTGAAATCAACTGAAATGTTAAAACTTAAGAAATTCAGAATATAAAAATATACAGCTGGACTGTATAAACATGAAGGACAATTTTGAATTTAATGAAATAATGTTAATGCCATTAGGTGGTGATAAAGTTTGAAACAATTAGCCAATCTTTCACAGAAGTAGCAATATTATCCCCTTTTGACGTTTTGGGAACTAGTCTGAGGTAGTACTGATTCCAAAATCAGCCCTATTAGTATTACTATTAGTGTTATCATTTTTAATTGATTTCATGAATTTAAGTTACATTTTTCTAGTTTTAGTTCTGATCTATATAGATGATTTTCTTAAGATAAGTTATTTATTTTTTAAAGAAAGTTTAAACTGTAAGATTTAGCACTCTCTTAAACAAACCAATATAAAGTTTTAACATTACGAAAGTACAAAGTATGTAGTTACTACACTGTCTGTGAAAATATTGCAACTAAACGGCTATTAGCATTACGACAATACTTCTTAAGCCTAAAGGATAAAACATTAGATTAAAAGACTGGTAATGTAACAGGATGAGTATCCTATTATTTTTATCAATAGAACATCAACTTTAGAACTAGTACCACTATGGATATGTGACGGTAGTTCTTCACATAATTATAGTCGTACAACTTTATATAACTTAAATTCTAATTTTATAGAAGTTTTACCAATAAACAACATACAAACCTTTAAATTTCGGCGTTTTTCTTTCTCTTGGCATTTCGAATTACTTAAATTTAGTAACCAGCAGTTTCTTCTTATTTTTTACAAAAACAAAAATATAAAACTTCATACAAATATACGACCCTCAGCCAGATACAACATATCATTAGCGACACCTAAGGTTCGTGAAGTTACACAAAATATATGTTTAAAATAGTCATGAATTTTCAGAT